GATTGGTTACCGAATGATCGTTAATAACATGTATGTTTAGTTCTTAGTGGTGACCTAAATCTATGGTCTACTTAGCTGCTAGCGAACCCCGAAGAACACGCAACCAGAGTTTCCTATCGACTATCTTCAACCACCTAACAAATTTCTGTGTGATATAGATGCATAAGTAACACAAAATGTGGTATAATTGTTTGTACTGAGCAGTTACATGACATTTATTTCACTTGCGGTATACAGTATAGACATCAGTTATTAACTATTTATGTATAGAATTCGGAATCGCTAGTCAAATTGAACTAATGTGACTCAAACGATAGAGGGAGCGGTCAACCATAATCACAGTCAAATTAAACTATGCTGCAAACAAGTAGTAGAGTAATATCCTCAATTTTCTGTATCAATACTACATCCCAAACACGTTTGTTCTACCATTCGATATACGTGAACTAAATTGCAAATGATTACTGTGCAAACTAACCACAAACATATTCTCAGTCTATTTAAATCAGTAACTGAGCCTAAAGGCAGGCAACTAATTGATAGCAAATCAAATGTGGAAAGGATCATCTCTAGAAGCTAACACATAGAAAGCCCATAGAAATGATGAAAGTAATCAGAACTACTAAACACATCTCGACTTAATTAGTTTAAATGACGGTTCTAAACTAATTAAGAGTATTGGCCTGGGGACATTTCAGTTGAATGATATAACTTTCTACAAAACGTTCAATGAAAGACAGTGCTGAAGATAAAGTTTCTCGAAATAGTCTATCCATAGTTTCACTGACTGTTGATTTTATTACTTTCAATATTTTTGGTAAGTGCGAAAACTGTTCAGTAATATACAAAAAGCAATTTAAAATATTTAGACTGTCTAAAATAATGGTGGAACTAAGTTGATCTTTAGTCAGCCATTAATGCTAATGCGTTATCTTGATATAAGCATGTTTGCTGACGCTTCTGTTTGTTTGGAATATCACATCAATTGCGTATAAGAATGGTAGTTGAAAGTAAGCTGAGCACACTTCTCAAGAATTTCAGAATATTTATTGGCATTATTTTCGGTTTCGTTTATGATTGAACTGAATGAACAAACCATAGATCTTAATCATCTGCTGTTAATTGTGTAGTAAATACAGTCATTGATTTCGTATTGAAATCATATTCAAAGCTCTTTACTCTTAGTTTCGATTTACCAACTTTGCAAGATGGATAAACTTGTAGAAGTACTAAACTGTGCAGAGATATTCATTAAATTACGATTTTAGGATGGCCAGGTCATATCCAAATAGTACAAATTCCGATATATTTAGCTAATGTGACGATAAAAGTTTGTTGCACTAAGTATACACCTTGGTATCTCATCTCCAGACTCAAATAACTCATTTTTAATAGCAAATTAATGGTTTTCTGCAAGTCAGTTCCACACACTAAAACTAAAGTTATTGAAACATACATAACAAAATTCACTTGTTTATATATTCTAAATTACTGGTGTGTATAAGATCGCAATACACAATCTTTTTGACTAGGAACTGTGTTAATGGTCACTGCATTAATGGAACGTGTGTATGTAATGCATGTTGGATTGGGAAAACCTGTGAAGAGCGAGGTAAGTCAGTCATTTATGGTTTAACTAGTCAATATTACTAATAACGAGACAATTTTCTGTTCGGTTTTATAAATATTTGGTTACATTCTATCATTTCATTATCAAGATGATGCTAAAGACTCTTATATCAAGCCCACAAGATTTACTGTGGTGTATTCTACTGATCCCTGTCTACATAAGTAGTATGTAAGCCAGTCAGAAGTGGAGATGTCTGTCAAAAAAAGCTTGAGAAAATAGCACTGCATAAAACAGAATGGGGAAGCACCAAGGGATTGAGGGACGGAAGAATCATGAATGATGTAAGGATAAGTGATGTAGGATTTGCAAATGAAGTACTCAATGTAACTCTATAATTTTGCATTGAACAATAAATTGGTCTTCCACATCTGGGTTCTTCATTAACTAAATTACTTGTATAGGAAATAAACATTACACTGAATGGATAATAATTCACATTTCTTGATAAGCTTGTAGTCGAATTCACTTCGCATCTTGTTATAAGAAATCTTGGAAAATCGTCAATTGGTTAACTTAAACAAAATTTCTTCATGAATTGATTCATCTATTTGTAAAAACGCTCAATCATTTGTATTGTGCATTGGTTACAGTTGAAGAAATATTGTCCATTCCATGATTCATAACTCATTTCTCATTTACATATGTATTGTGAAATATTAACTTTGTAGAGATTATATGCTTACCATTTTAGTACATAGAATTCCAAAATTCAATCAGACAGTATTCACCTTCGAAACCAAGTTTTCTAACTGGATCAATGGAAGTCTGATTGGTAGTCTTTCTCTGAGTGATGAAAACTCCTCCTTAGCATCGTGTGGAAGTGTTCAATTTAACATTGTACCTGATTCAAACTACTTACCAGTAGCTATCGATGAAACAACTGGTATTTTGAAGGTAATTGAAAGTGATTATGAAACAATGAAGAATAATCACACCATCACTTTTCAAGTGACAGTTAGGAATGCAAATACTACAATAAATATATCTGATGATGCAACGGTCAACATTTTAATTGATGAAAATTATTCTGAAAAGGAAAAAGGAAGTGAAATCACTGCAATGAAGAGGGTATGATCTCTGTTTATTGTAGTATTTTTTGAAAATTAAACTGCAGTTTTTGTCATTGATTTCACAATTGGTAAGCTGTCACTGAAAGAGATTCATGGCTTGTTTCAATTGACACTGTAGTGACCTGTTTCTTTGAAACAAGCACAGCAATATGATCAAAGGTTCTTCAAATCTTATCTCATAGTTCTGACCCTTGATGTTCAAACAACAACAACAGCAGCAGAATATCAACACGATTAGTGGTATGTTACCACTGGAGACAACCTCCAAATCAGATGAACGTCAAACTCTCATAAAACGCTACGAATAATCATTTTTGTCAAAAATGAAAACTATTTAAAATAATGGTATTAGTAAGAGTTGTAAGTAGGTATAATGGTCTTTGAATTCGTGTGCATTTCACAGTCACTTATCCTACAAAACAATGTGGTGTTTCAGATAACAACCTTCATTCATTAATGAATTCGATTCAATGATTCCGATGTTAATGAAATAAAATAGTGTTATCATCAGGACGTTGTGATCCGATTCAGCAAATGTGCACAGTAAGATATAGAACCACGATATGTACTATCCAAAATAATTGATTTGAGGTTTTCAGATGAGTAATGTCATTTTTTCTTCTTTATAGGGCGTCATACTTCCACCGAATACTATCGATGTCACATTTTCCAGAGTATACATCCAAGATAATCCAAATTATTGTCTATTCGATACATGGTTTATTGATTCGGTAATTGTCCTTCCACCTGGAAATAATAGTTTGATCATGAAGTTTTCTGGTCCGTCTCTAAATAATGTCTATTACGGATATATACAATATTTGTTTGCTTACTACAACGGTTCAAATATAGCAAATAATTATCCTGTGAAGTTTAGTAATCTCACATACTTGAACAATTATTCCTCGGTAAGGATATGAATGTAGTTTGATTAATTTTACTGTTTACAGCATTTTCTGTTAGAGATTGTAAATGTATGTGTAACAAGGAATGTACAAGTAAATATACATATGACCCCTCTTGATTCCTGTCACTAGAGGTTGTTCGTTGTGATGTGTTAAAAAATTGCTGGAAGTTTCTAGGTTGTGGATATCCATTGATACTGCACTTCAGAAAATAATGAAGCATATGTAGTAGGTTTCAATAGCACATGGTTATGTACATAAACGTTTCTCATGGAAACATAGTGAACAAACAAGTTTGATTTATGTTTACAAACAGTAAAATACACTTCGTCTAAGAGACAATAAATGTGTGTAAAAATGAAAAGTTCCTAGATAATTCGAACTACATTATGTAAACACAATCAGGTTTTCTGAATTCACTTTGTGTATAGGTATAACCCTTAGTTAACAGTCTCTCATGAAGCTGATATATCGTCTAATCTCTTTCTCCTGGCCTTCAATATATCTTACATTGTAATTAAAAATATTCTACTAGTTAAAAGTTACTATGGAAAGTACACCGATATGTGCAAGGACATATTCCACATTTCACTGAAGATTGAGAGTAAATATCAAAGTTCTGTTTCATACAAAAATATTCAAAATACCACCTGATGCTGATTATGTACTCGAAAGAATGAAAGTTTTTAAATAGTTAAAACCAACTGTGAGATTATGAAGATTCATAACAATGGATATTTAATTTGTATAAAATTTAATTCAATTTCGCTTAAAAAACCTTCCTGATTTACGTCTCATCCAATAATCTCCATATCTTAACAACCTATCGAAAACCTGAATACAAAAACCCATTATGAGTATGAATTTGAAAAGTGAGTGTAAATAGAACAGAATAATCTACAAGATTAAGAGAAAGAAAACACTGTAATATAAGACTATAGTCATCACTGAGTAAAAGTTCTAGAGAGACGAAGGAGTGGAAAATACAAGGACTAAAACAGAAAGGATCAGACAAGATGTGGCAACATCTTTGTGAGGTTCATATTTTAAGAAGCAGTAATAGATAGAAAATCTGATTTTCTATATTTTCTTTGTTTTAGTCCATCAATTAGATTTTGGTTATAGATGAGTCGATATACCGAATAATTGTAGTCAATCTACAAACTTGAGGAAATATATGATAAAAGATATCACATCAAATGACTCAACATCGCCTAAAATCGGTTCTGTGAATGGGTCTAAATTGGTTAGAAATTGCAGTAGTATATCTTCGTAAGTTGATATTAACTCATATCTTCGGTGCCAAATTATAGATATGAAAATGGAGAATTTCCTGAGAATTCCAGCCCTTAATCCATTTTTGTTAATTGTTTTCCGTAGTCTTCGGAGTTCACAATGACAAGTCAGATAAGTGTTTCATCCGCTCCTGCCAATGATTCAAATGACTTCAGTATTAGGATGCGATTCCAAGTTGGTCTTTTCCCTCAAATGTCGATTCCACCAATAGGTACCAATTTAGCAGTCAGAATGGAGGCATTGTTGACTCCAAAGATTACCGTAGATATTCCCATGAGTGTTTCCTCGAACTGTCCGATTCAATATGATTCAGTCAACTTTACCAAGTGTCCACCGCAAGTGGAAGTAGGTGGGGTTTATGAGTATTCTGTGGACTACTTTATAAGCAGACCCATTGGCGATTACGTGGTGAGTGATAAGTATTATGCTTGGATAATTTGCAGTCTTATGAAAAAATTGTTAAATAATAAGACTTCTGACTTAATTGTTACATACTATGACGTACCTCATAACGAAAAATTAATTTGTTCATCAACAATAGAAAATATATGAATCTTTATGTCATAAGACATTTCAACAACTAGATTAATGCATATTATTGTCTTTTGAGGATCAAAAGGATGTTCATCGTTCGGAGACAAGGCATGTAACAAATTTATTTAACGATCACCCAGACTTGCTTTTATCCACTTAGCTATATCAAAACCTCTCTCTTACAAAACTGGCCATTGTTGACAGTCAGTATCCTACCTAAATTTACCACTAATTCGTTATCATAATAATCCAGGTTTAAACTGACAGTAAAAAACTGTTCACGAAAATCAGCAATCAAGACTGTTTGTTTCCTCCTCCCAGATTTCACTAATACGATAAATTTCCTTTGGTGATCAGTAACACTTATGATTCAATCTTCAGTACAGATTATACATATATTTAGTTCGCTCTTTCGAATAATAATTAATATCGGTTAGTTTTCGTAGAAAAATTTGTAATCTAAAGGTGATGATAAATTCAGTAGAACTAGACGAAGCTATTAAAACATATCGGGTCCTGATGAACACTTCAAAATTACAAACTGAATAGAAAAGGTGTCAGGTTTTGATTACAATTACTCCAGAGAATATCAGCTATAGTACCGATATTTACGTAATGCTGCAAATTAGTAGAAATTTGACTTTTGTATGCTCACCCAATACAAAAAGTTACGCATTTATTTCCTCAAAGCCACATGCAGAAAAAATACTTACTGTTGTTTCCTAATAAATTGTTTGATAGTTCACATTCACGACTGATGAGTTTAGTGCTTCGATTGGACATATATCTTTGGCGCTACCTACAACATTCTCTACATACCCAGAGGGTTACAAAATAGATACGCAACAATTCGTTGGTTATAACTTCGTACTGACTACCATTGGCTACGTTAGCGTTTCAAATCTACAAAATTCAGGTAAGTTCATCGTACAATGATTTCTAACGTTAAACACTCTGTTTGATCATAAACCATGTATATTGTTAACTGTATCATATATTAACAGTTTTGTTCAGTCTAGCTGTGTCTTATAACAATAAGTTCCTGATGTTTCACAACCAACCACGATGCTCAGAACGTGGTACTCATAAATATTGTATCTTCCAAATATTACATCTTTTCTTGCATGTATTTTTATGAAATTAATTACGCACTTGTCAAGACAATAACAAGCGCCTTTCCATTTTCTGATACTTATTTACACAAGTACCGAATTTTCATATTGCATGTCATTAGGGAAGTGGATGATATGATTTTAGGCACTTATTCTGCTACTTGCATTTCGGTATTATGCATTATAGATATCTTCCATTAATAACCATTTTGGGCTCACCTGAACCTTTTGATAATTATTTCTCTGTTAATATTTCTTCGATGAATCACTTTTTTACCGGTCAGTATGATGGCCTCGTCAAAGTGATGTTACTAATCAATTCTTAACAACCACATTTATTTGGTGACAACATTTGTGCATGGATAAATCAGTGAATAAAAGATTTTCAACTGTTGATGATGAATTCGGTGAATTCTACTGTCTTGCCCAGTGAAAAATTGAAAAATGGTCGGCTGTTTTACTTCAAAAAGCTACCCAATATGACACGTAGTGTAATGGTATGACAAATTTCTTCGTACCAAAGATATTTATTACTGAACTGAAATGACAAGAGATGTTGTGAACAATCGAATATGCATAAAGATGGAGTGATTAAGAGGAATGAAGAAGATGGTAGGGGCTGAATACGTTGTTATTCAAGTTGGATAAAAATATTTGTTTCCAGAAGTCTTATTCCGAAAAATCATTGACTTTAAGATATATTTTACTGGTAATCATCTCGTTAAGAATACACGGTTTTAGAATTGTGAATAAATCGAGAGATAAACGTATTGTTATTTTAGTCCCTGTGTTTGCTGAATACGAGATCAGATTATTGACACGAATCTCCAAGTGAAGACAATACTAATGGAAAGAAGAATATAAGCTCCTGCATGATACGGATTTCACAGTTATCTCAATGAAATCGAGACCTGATAATTAAGCTTCATACCTACATTATATATCAGTTTACAAATGAAGAGCGAATACTACAATATACTAACTTAACTTACGCCTGTTACTCCTCGTGAAGAAGCATAGGCCGCTCACCAGCATTCTTCATCCAACCCTGTCCTGGGCAATCCTTTCCAGCTCCTTCCAGTTGTTGTTCATCCTTTTCATATCTGCTTCTATTATCCGACGTAATGTTTTCTTAGGCCTTCCTCTTTTCCGCTTCCCTTCAGGATTCCAAGTTAGGGCTTGCCTCGTGATGCAGTTTGACGATTTGCGTAATGTATGTCCTATCCATTTCCATCGTCTTTTCCTAATTTCTTCTTCAGCTGGAAGCTGGTTTGTTCTCTCCCACAAAAGGCTGTTGCTGATGGTATCCGGCCAATGGATGTTGAGTATTTTGCGAAGGCAGCTATTTATAAATACTTGTCCCTTCTTGATGGTGGTTGTTGTAGTTTTCCAAGTTTCAGCTCCATACAATAAAACTGCCTTGACGTTGGTATTAAAGATTCTCACTTTGATATTGATTGAACGTTGTTTTGAGTTCCATATGTTCTTCAATTGTAGGAATGCGACCCTTGCTTTGCCAATCCTTGCCTTACTACTAACCAAATAATATCTGCTGGCAGTTTGTTATACATTTCATTATCAGATATATTTGCTCTTGTGTGATTGCATTTAAATTCTGAATAATCCTGCTACTTGTAACACTATTTTATTTTGTAATAGATTTGTATTAAAATTTCTAAACTTCTATTAGGAGAATTTCTAAAATGTGCTGTCATCATTCTGCTTAAATACACACGATAGTACTTCTTCGCTGTTTATCATGGAATCACTATAGATTTATTCAAACTGCGAGAATCCTGATATCTAATTTCGCTAGTTTACAGCCATCTTCTATTGTCATAGTGAAGTTTAATAGGAAAAAATAGTATGGTTTGATCGCGTTGTGATCAATAGTCGAATTTAACCACTATCAAATGCTTACTAACTTGTTTAGACCAACGAAGATACTTTTTATTTTGTTGTTATTTTTAGAATTTTTGTGCATTTCACTTATCATTAAACTGTTTACTGGAATCAAATATCTCTTGTCCAACTTATTTCCTGAACAAAAGTTAATTAATATATTCATAGTATGTTTTGTTGAGGTTTTCGTGAATTGCACTAGTATACGTGGTTCAAGGTTATGATTTCACTTAACTCTGTAATATAGGAAGAAAAAGATGACCTTTGAGACTATAGAAATTTAGCTAACTAGAAGCGATGAAAGTCAATCAGAAAATGGAAAGAGAGTAATGTGGAAAACTCCATTCAAAAAGTAATTACGACGATGATTTCAGTAAAAGTATACTTTAGGGACAAGTCAATCAGAATTGAATTTCGTGCTGAAATCCAAATATTATGTGCGAAAGCAGTGGAAATACTTTTGTGCACTGTTCAAAACATTCACAATGACTGCGAAAATTCAGTTTTTGCAGATATAGATTAAAATCGTAAGTGTTTAGTGTATCAAAATTCTACTTCTGTCTCCTTTGATTGTAATTAACAGGCAAATCGGCATTATCCATATGTCCTGACTTTAAATATTTAATCCTTAAACAAACCTATACCTAGTGGGACTACATTTTATGAATGAACTGATCAAATATATACTCCAGTATTTTTGACTGAAATTCACTCACACATACGACAACAGAGGAATTTTAATTTGTCATTTTGTGAATAAATCTCCAAAGCCCTAACCATTACCCTAAATGTGCTATCCCTAACGAAAAATAATGTGAGAACTGGTTTTGGGTCATTTTATAGATTAGCGAAGACGGATAACCTCTAACAACACGGTTAAAGTAATATCTCTTTGTTTCTTTAACTCAGGCGGAACAACGGGTAGAAGACAATAATATATTCATTAATTACCTAGAATCCATTCACAGTGTAATCTCATCGTTTTTTCACAAACTATTCATTTTTAAAAGCTGCTTTCTGATTACTTTAGAACTGGCCGGAAATTCGGTTCAGTTTTTTAAGGTCTTTTATGAAGATTTTGATTCACATTTAATGCGGTTAAACTCAGTCAGACTGGAAGATTATAATTTTAATTTACCCAAGGTTACTACCACCACTCACCACTAGAGCTCTAACAACTATAAGGCATATAATTACGCTTAGTTGGCTATCTTTTAGCTTTCATTGGGTTCATTTTTTCAAAACGATCTCACTGTTGTGTTAAAAAACAAGAAAACTAAACTATTATTTTTCATTATATTTCATTACCGAACTTTGCAGATTCACTCTGATAAGTCTCGTCGACAGGCATTCTTTCACAAAATGGTCTTGTTTTCATATTACTTTGGATATTTCTTTTCCGAGGTATTGGGACGAGCAAGTCTTATTTTATATTCATATGTACATATTCAAATTTAATTTAAAATATATTTTAGGTGTTTATGACACTACTTTGCCAATGATGAATCGATCAGTTCGTCTAACAGTTTTTATTCAGATATATAGACCAAGTTTGGTATCCGTTAAGTTTGAAGCAAAAATCTCACCATTAGGTAAGAATTCTACAGTGAATTTTTGTGAGAGCCAACTCATAGCATTTGCAGGTCCTAATTTGGTAAGTTGTCAGTACAAACCATATTAACTTCCTTTAAAACGAATAGGCAGCGAAAAGTAACTTAACATCAAAGAATACCTCAGTCGTGAATCAAGCTGAAAAGTTACAATTCTTTAATCTTCAACTGAGTATTCTGCCTTCTACGACAGCACGTTATAGTATTTATATAACTAATACTGGTAAACTAAATACGGAACAATGTTCCGTGGATTACTTGTTAACAGAAAATAATTCAACTAAGAAAGTAAGTTTAAAATATCATAATGATTGTTTCCATTTTCTGTGGTTTTTAAAAGATTTTCATAAGGGAGTACAAACTTTACGTGTTTACTTTAACAAACCGGTTTCAATAATTTCAAAGCACGAGTAACAGTAGAACTTCTGATGCTTGATCATTGACTTCAGTATGATTGTATTTGAATCATTTATATTACTTATCACTTTATATTGAGGTACCTCGAGTCAATAAACAAGTAAATGGTAGGGAAAATCAAAACTCATTTATAATAGAAACACCTCTTCAGTTTTTTTATTAACTTTGGATTACTGTGTTTCATAAGTAATAACATTTGAACCCTATGAAGCAATAATCGATTCGAAAAAAGTATAAATGTCAAACAGTTTAGACCCACAAGATCCTTTAGTTATAAATTATCTGATTAACCAAATAAAATCAATCTATTCCTCATTATTTCATCAATTCACATGAAGGTATAAAGACTGGTATGTTGGTTATTACAATGAATAAATAATTGCATACAAATGGATAGAAAAGCTTATTCATCTAGTACGTTAACAAGATATTTCCCTCGTTATATTAATTCTATGAAAAAGTTAAGTACCCAAATTTTATATAAGCGACGTCTTTCTTATGGCCGTGGTCGACGTAGATGTACACTAGTGGGAAGACAGTTATTTTGAAAGAAGTAAAAATATTATCCATACAGTTTTTGCCAACAGTTTAACTGGGAATGTTTATAAAAAGGCGGAGACAGGATTCTAGAAATAGATTACATCATACATAATCCAGTTCAAAATACAGAAGAACGTGCACTATCTGAGTGAAGTTTAGGGAAAAGATGAGAAAGTAAAATCATAGCTTATATTTGGAGAAATTTAATGGCTTTAGAAACTGACCATTAAAATGATTATTTTCTTACGAAGTCAGATAAGTAAGATGAACATGTTAAGGGTATGTCAGATGGCATCAACTTGACTATGGTGGTCAAATCTATTGATCACTTAAAGGCGGTTAACGGGTTAATTTAAAGAAACAGAGTCATTCTAGAAAAATGATAATATTTGGAAGGTCGACACATTGAGGAAAATATCTAGAAAAGTAAGTTAATACATATTTGATAAACAATTAAGACAGTTGCTAATAAACTGATATATACAGTTTATTATCTCGTCACAGAAAGAGACAAATAAACAGTTAAAGTTAGTGACGTCTAACCTGAGGATAAATAATTACCTTAAAATTATAAAACAACGATATATTGGTTATATTCCGATGAGTAGAAAATCACATTTCTCGCGTTTTTGGACTTTGTGTAAACCACTACTTCAGAGTTGATAAATAAAAAGATAACCGAAAAAAATTAACACAGATTAAAATCGTATAAAATAATAAAATAAATATTTTGACGTGTTCTTTTATGCGATCTAAAACTGTGTAAATTTGATTCGGTTATTCATTTTTTAATTGTCTACTCTGAAGAATAGTTTACACAAAGTCACAAAACGCGAGAAAATCGATTTTCTACTGACTTCGTTATGATCAATATACTATCACTTTATTACTAACATTCCAGCTGATGCACAGGTTATTTTCAACTATCAAGTCAAACCTTGATAATAAAACCAGTTTAGAAGACTTCACAAGAAACATAACTAGGTAGGAAGGGATTGAGAGAAGAAATATCAACCCCGAAATAATGGATTATCATAGTGTTTATTCCTCATCATCAAGGGACATTATAGGAAGCCAGATATTGTGCTAGAAGTGTAAACGCGATACTGAAGACACCAGTCAATATGAAATCTATGGTCAGAACAAGGACAACTTGGCTTTAAACTTGATCTGTTTTTAAACGTAAAACCAATCCGACTAGTGCAGTCAGGCCAGATCAGATTGTTGTGAAAGGCGTTTAAGCAACGATTTGATTGGTGTTAGATCTATCGAAGCGTCCAAGTCACCTGATTGAGATTTGCGCAAAACTGAAGTTTCCAAAACAACAATTTGTCTACAATAGCGGTTCTTTATTGAATAATACACAACATTTAGTTACAAACCTCAACTTGTGGGGTGTCTGGGGCGTTTAAACGCGTCCTTCAAGTATGAAATAAAAAGGCTTCCTGTAACAGTAACATAAAGAATAATTACAACATACGATAGTACAAAGGATAGCTGATGGCTGTCTAAATTTGATAACAGTTTATGAACAATCGAAACCCGAACCAAGAGCAAAACAATATGGAAACTTTTGCGTTTAAACAAATGCACAAAGCGGTGGATAACCGCTACAGTGAATAAGGTACAGTGATTATAATGATAAGTACAATAAACATTATAAGTATATGTGAACATTTCAGGATATTACATTACAACTTGCGTTACAACATAAGTTTAAAAATTGTTGGGAATAAACTGCTTACTGAATGTGAATAAGTAGTATAAAACTGTATACAAAGGAGTGGAAAGGGAGCGAGTAGGAACAATGTAAGACAAACTTAACAATTCGTTAGTTAGGGACATAATTATCACACACTATTCTTTAACAATGTCGATTGTAAGGCAGGTACCCAACATCGGCATCGGATGGCATCTGTGGACTGTCACGACTTAAATTATGTTAGACATGTAAACCGTCGGATGACAACTCAGTGACCTAAAGGCTAAGCGTTCGCTATGATAACTCAATGTCCTGGGTTGGTCTACATTCAAGCCATGGATACGCTATGCTGAGGAGTGCCATTCCACTGCAAAGCATCTTCCTAATGCTTTCTATTACTGAGTGGCTGTTCATCTAAAATCGATCCATTAGGTAAACTGTAAAATCCAACAATTTTTCGAAACACTTTATCACGGCCGGTGTACAGATAATCAATAAGTTACCTTACAATACTGTCCTTTAACTTATCCAAACATGGCTAAGATCAAAACAGAAAACTATTATACAGGAGAAAGTTTTGTATTCAGCAATCATGAACCATAACCAATGCTACAAAGTCACAATTGACTGCATTAATACATATCCACAATTATAGTCTGTTAATAAATGACAATAGTAAATAATGGTTTTACTTCTAATTGGTACTCTATCATCATCCTTTTCTCCAATCGCGACATATATATGAATTGATCAACAGGACTCAACCCAGATGAACCAATCAAATATGATGAGTAAACCCCGAAAATTCGAACTTCAGTACAAACAAACAAATATCAGTAGTTCTGATGTTCCGAAATCATAAATATCACTAATAGCAGTAACCTTTCTGATTGAAATAACTGCCCAGCAGACCCACAGTTGTTTATTTATTCTGTTCAGCTTACACATGATCAAACAAGTTCACTTTTCATCTTTGATGTAAAATGACTAATGCTGATTTTGTACCGTCAACTATCATGTTTTGTAACATATTCTTGGATGAGATTTTCATATGATAAATATCAATATATGCAGAGGCCATCAAAAGGATTGTTTGAAAATCCTGCATTCCGTGATATCAGTGTATTGCGCATCAAGTCATGAGACGTATTTAGTATCAAGTCGTTCACTTCGAAACATATCTTATGACTATTCCAATCCCTTTCACCTTCACCAGAAGAATAACTACTTAATTGGAAATCCAGTTTCCTCAGCGTTGCCATTTCTTCTTGAATGAAAAAGTCTGAATCGAATATGTCTGTTATTAGATTTTCATACTGAATAAAAACATAATCCACTCGATTTTCAATTCATTGTTTGACATTTTCGTTGTACCGAGTACTTACAATATACAGGTCGATAGAATGAACACGAAATCAGTTGGTGTGTTGCGTGGTAACAATAATATTACAATATGCTAAACAGTGGTATCTCAATGCATATTTTGAAGTTATTATTCAGATAAGAAGTTTCATTATCGAGCATTTAGTATGCATATAACTTTTAAGCTGTTAAAACACTTAGGATGGAGGTCTAATATTTATCACGAATTCATTGATGTTAATGGTTACTGTTTTGTGTTCAACAAATCCTCGCTAATCGCTAATATTTACTTACTGTGGTCTCAGGCAAATATCAGTAATAGAAATTAAATTATTTCACTAAATTTACCATTCATTTTATCATAGTTTGGTTGGTTTACAAACTGCTTATCAGATGGTTTTCATTGTCATAATGTTCTAGTCTTTCATAAACAGCATACATTCATTCAGTGGAAAAACTGTTAGCCTACGGACTGGGGTGATTGCATATATATATATATATATATATATATATATATATATATATATATATATCCTATGGAGTGTGTGGGGCTGATATTTCTCCCCATGAAATAAAGCAAGCAACACAGCAGAGACCGGACTGACCACGGACTCTGCAAAAGTTAGATAGAAATCTGGCACATTACCCACTCTACCAAAAATCAGACTAATCATCTACTCTGTCAAAACATTGATTACTATTGGAGCAAGGTCAAATTTGAATTCAGAGAGCAGTCGTAAATTTGAGATGACTGGGCTTGTAAGGCATGCTAGCAACCGCGCCCATCTATGTCTAGGTGTTTATCACTGGAATGTTTCTGACATCTGAATTTAATGAGTATATGTGTATTCAACATATTGGGGAATAGATCCACGTTTCTCCACTGATGATGTCTGTCTACACTACGTAATAATAATGATTATTAAAATTATTATTGCAATGAAAAACACATGTAATCAAATTCCCAATCATTAGTACATTCAGTGGAATAACAACATACTTCCTCATAAATATTGAATTAGACATTTGGATTTTATTTATATTTTCCCTGATAACAATTATATTTGGCTTGCCATTATTTGACTACAACAGTCAGATAAAGTTGAACGTCGATTCGCATATTATAATTAACCTAATTCAGAATAACAGTTATAATTATCTTGACAATTTAGTTTCTTAGTTAATAGTTTCCGCCTATAGGGCATCACTTCTCAATGTTCATTCTAGACAAATATTCCTCATTATTTCTGCTTATCCTTAACTAATT